GGGAGAGAGAGCACCCATGTACATAGCCAATCGTTCAGGCAGCAATTAAGTAGAGGGCAGTCATGTATGGGAGGGACTGCACTTACGGCTCGACGATGTAGACCACTGTTCATGTCTGTATAGCCGATGTTGGTGTGCTCTGTCAATGTCAACTGGTCCATGAAAGTGTCGAAGAAATAATGCACATCTATTCCTAGACCACCTACTTATCTTCATGTGGTTCATTGATGAATCTTATCGCTTTATCGAGTCAGTTGTGTAAAGCAGAACAAAGGAGTTGGCCATATTTGAAACTGCCCGTCTCTATACATGCATGCATTTGTGCTTGCTTTGCGTCCACGTACTTGCAGATGCATGTATTGTACTTGCTTGCCATATACTACGGACAGGCATGTTCTCTTGTTGATGGATATTTCCTTTTCCCATACCCATAGTCCTAATACAATTTGCACAAAAATTATGAACATAATGAAAAAATACATTTGCTAATTATCAGTTGGCTGAAAACCGGACGACGCAGCCGCCTGCAGCGTCCCCAGCCAAGCCAAGCCAGGACCTCTCGAGAGACGGGGACAATGCGGTTCGACAGAGCCCAAGATCAGTGTGGGGATGCCATGTCCTGTCATGGCATCGCCGAGGGCTCTAACATGACCTCGCCGGAGGTGAGGGAGGGATGGGGCGTGGGCGTTGGGCATGTATACTCCTAATTTGCAAGGAAATGGAACACTCCTAATTGGAGATGTGGCCGGTGTTGCTACTTGAAGACAGGATGATGAGAGGCTGCTGCTGTCCAAGAACCGCTACCGCCGTCTTCGCTCACAAGTCACGAACGCCGTTGCCGTCGCCCTCGATCAGCAGTTGGTGGGAAACTAGTGATGAGTTGGCTAGGTTAGGCTGTATGCGTTGTTGTATGGGCCCTTGGATGCCTTGCGTCTGGAAGAGAGAGAGTGAGAGTGAGTTGGGCCGATGCAGCGATGCCTGATGGACTGCTGTGTGGTACATGCAAAAACACTACAATGTTATTTTGTTTAGCGTCGGAATAGCGCAGTATAACACGAATAGCGCCGTGGCGAGCAAATTAGCTACGTAACATGACTCTTCTAGACACGCTATAACGTCGAGATAACGCGCTATTTTGTTGTTGATATTTGCACAAGGGTGGGATAATTAATATTAGATCAAATTGTTGGCACCATGTACTTTGATATAAGAAATTCTCAGTCAAATTATATACAGACAGAACCTTTTTGTGGTCGCTATATTATTAAACAGCGTTGTCCTTATATATCCCTGAGATGTGGGGGAGACTTTCTCTAGACATGGGTATGAGTCAATGTTCTTCAAGTACCAAAACGATGACCCACAGTGGTGTGCTGCTAGTTCTAGCTACACTATCTGCCAACCTACCTACTATCTTAAGACCATATGACATGCATTGCCAAGAGGATAACATGGCATCCTAACAAACTACACATGACTTTTCTTGTACCACCCTATATATATCATCCCCATCACCCTCTCCCTACCCTCCCATACGCCTGCTGTTCCCTTAGCAAGAAAGAGAATCTATCTCACCAAGCTAGAAAGAGAGAAGCAAAGAGATGAGGAACCAGCGGCTAGCTCCTACCACCTGCTCCTCCTCAAAGATCAACAACAGAAAGCAAGAAGAGCCACACCTCTCCGGGGCTTACATTAGGAGCCTTGTGAAACATCTTAGCTCCTCCTCCACAACGAGACCCAAAGACCACCACATCACCATGGGCACCAAGCCGCAGCAAGAAGAGCAACATGCGCCCCAAACCACACCACCATCTCTACAGCAGCAGCAGCAGCCACACAAGAAGCAGGTGAGGAGGAGGCTGCACACAAGCAGGCCATACCAGGAGAGGCTACTCAACATGGCCGAGGCCAGGCGAGAGATCGTCTCGGCTCTCAAGATCCACAGAGCCTCCATGAAGGAAGCCAAGGAGCAGCAGCAACATCAACAACTGGTGCAAGAATTTCAACATCAGCAGGAGGTCCAGGTAGTGCAAGATCATAGGCTAGCTTGTAGTGCACCCAGCATGAGCTCATATGGTTCCTTCTCAGATTACCCATTTGCACACTCCACGGAAACAAACAGTAGTTGCTCATATTATTCATCCCCACTCCTCCCTTACCACACACCAGCAGCTGCACCCATGGTTCCCATGGTTGATGCTCTAGACCAGTTGCTGCCGCTGCCTACGCAGCCACTTGGGCTTAACCTGAGCTTCCATGGCTTCGGCGGCGGGGGAGTTGCTGGTGAAGATGCCAAGAACAACACCGCTTCTAACTCCTTTGATCCTCCTCCGTTGCTCCAACAACCCTCGCCTGCCTCCTCCTACTCGGTCTACTCCTCTCCGCCGGCGACGACGATGGCGAGCCAGGACGTGGCGTCCGCCACCGTCGAGAACACTTCACCATCGCTACACCGGGTGCTGGATGAGGAGGAGATGGCGGCGATCTACTCGGTTGGGGAGCGGCACGACATCGAGTGGAGCGACACACTGAACCTGGCCACGTCGGCGTGGTGGAGCACACTCCTCGACGACGGCGCTGCGGTGGGTCACCAGACAGACTCAGTGGACATCCCGGGGATGCATCTGGGTGATGTGTACTACGGCGAAGACGTCTCCTTCCCACGGTAAGCTAGCTAGACTGAGGCAACGTAGTTGTTATACCAAAATTAAGGTGCAAAAAATTGTTTAATAATCGGGGATGTTGATGTTTGGTTTTGGTTTTTGCAGCATGGAGATAGGAGAGATGGGGGGATGGGACGAGGAGTGGCTCTCATGACATGTCGTCCACTCTAGTCGAACGACTAGGTCTCCAAAGACAGCTGCATGCATGCATCTGTGCAGACTAGGATTGATGATATCCGATGACCATGTACTGCTACTTTACTGAGTCCAAGTTATAGTGTGTGTTTTTCAGTCTGAAATATAAAACACGTATTGGTCGTAGCCTGGGGCATGCCGCATGCATGCTATGCTTGACCAGAGAAGTGTGAGCTGCAGCATGCATGCAGCCATGCAACACCTTAATTGGGTGGTACGAGGAGATGGTCAGGTTCATTGTTTTTACTTTCAGTTGAGAAATATTTCAGCCACAGCCAAATTTCAGTTTGTCTTTGAGCCGAAGGACCAAAACATTCATTTGAATTTGATGAAATATTTGATTTTTCGAACATGTTTAAGTTCTTGTGTCTACTATGGAAATTGCCGAGATATTTTGACCGAACTTTAAATATTTCGGTGTCGAAGAAGCATCTTCTCCATTTCACTCCCTCAAATAAGAATATACATATGTAGTTGGACGTTCCTGGTCTGTCTGTACCATCAATTTCTTTGAGATCCATCAAGAAGTCAAACTAGTCAAAGAGACCTTATATAGCCCGTTAGGCAGACAACAATAGGCAGCTGCCTTAGAACATCATGACTACTCTTAGCCCCCTCCACCCTTGTCAACTCCGAAATTTGTCTGCCTTGTCGCAATTTCGAGTCTGTAAAGAGTCCCCTCCCGCCTAATTTTTTGCATGCCATGCCATGATTTTGTATCACCCCGCCAGATCCACCCCTCTGACCAGCCACAACTCCTCATAGTCGGCTACAAGCGAATGTCCCCCGCCGTGGTCGTTCTAGAAGGTCGTTGTAAATATTTTAATAAAGGACCATTCAGATTTGCATACAGAATTTCGCACGTCTGAGCTCGAGATCCTTTCACATGGATATGTCAAGGATCTTGGCCATGAAGTATAAGAAGGTTCATCCTGAGCATTTGGTAGAAGGGTGTAAACATGTTTCAATGACAAGTTCAAAATAAGCTTAAATGATTAAAAAATCGATACAAAAAAAGAGGTAAACATGAAGGTATTTGTGCCCCTTGTAGAATCTAACACTGGAGTTATTGGGGAAGCTTAGCTAACATGGCAAGCAATTAAATATATTATTTTTGCTGTATGAAGTACCCACTATCTACATATAGGTAAGATACTTATAGACAATTTGGAGAGATTTTGCAAGGCTTGGAATCAAAATATTGCAATTGATTGGTTTTGTAAAGGATGAGCTATGCACTGTGCATGACTAAGTAAGATATGTGTAGAAGTCTCATGTACCAAAAAGAATGCAAGATGACAAAGTTCAACCTGTGGTAAACATTGTAAGCTCCTTAAATATTTATTTATGGTATTATTATTGTTTTATAATATTTGCTAATTGACATTTGAGATATTTGAAACTTTCCTTCCTCGACTAAAATCAAGGTCAAGTCTTTTTAGATGATTGGTTTCATAGAGTGAATATCCCCATAGTCATCCGTAGTGAGTCACTCCAATAACCGTATGTATGTCTCTTCAATGTACCATAGAGTTCTTCCTGATTTGATATGCAACACCAAACTTCAATTGTTAGTTCATATGATATTGTTGACCTTGTATTACAAAATTATTTCTTAGACCCTACATGAAATTGTATGTTATGTACACCCCCGAGATGTTGTATTCGATCATAGAGTTCCGTTGCCTTGTAATCACACCATGGTCGACGAGTAGTGGTGGAGGACAGACACAATTTGAGGTGCGGGAGCTTAACGCATACCAAAATCATACTCGAACACCAAATTAATCCAAACATTACAAAGCTATGAAAACCTACATCACAAATTCACAGTATACACAAATCTACAAATTTGAAAATTTATACCTTTTCCATTGCTAATTCCTTCTCTTCATGAATAACATCTACTTTTACCAAATTATTTGAACCAGTAATGCCTAGGACGCCACTAGGAACACCGATCCGCCACTCTGCGCCTTGCGCTAGGGTCCGTGCAGTCGTGGTTAGCTGCTCGTTCCTCTATATGTTGTCCTTATCTTGAAATGATTCCCTAATCGCTATTTCAGATGGCCACCATTCAGCGTGAGTTTAAAAGCTAAAGGCCTGAACAACATGGCCAACATAAACTAGGCAATTGATCATATTGCTCCACTTCTTTCTTTTCCCCTCAACAAGCCAAATACCATTCTGACGAATAAAGTTGGTTGACGATGCGTACACATCGTACAAGTTGATATGTTTTCCTGAAAATCAATACTGGACGATCGCCCCAACTTTCCCTATTAATCCCTCTGCGCGTGTGGAGGAGTATGTTGAAACATGGGAATTATGTTTTCATAGCATGTCTTATTAATCTATTGGTCCTAGATTAATGATTATAACTTATCTATAACAAACTTTTTTATTCTTTATAACATATTTGTTGTTAAAAGTGCATCTATTTTATGGATTCATCAACTTAAAATGTAAACTTGCATATTGTTCTATAGCTAGTTGAATTACTAACATATTATTATATTGAAGACACTTTGTTTTGTGGCATGTGTTATACATCTGCCATGGAAAATAATATATGTGCTATATCTAAACCATATTTTCCCTTCAAAGTTATGTTCATTGGTTCTTAAAATTTATTGATGACATTTAAAGAACCTTTCATTAAACAGAATGTCCCCCTAAATTAAGCGAGATGAACATGAAGATACAAAAGATCGTCCATTGATTATTTTGAGCGAGCTAAAAATGAAGATACAAAAGATCTTGCATTGATTATTTTGTTCCACTTAGTGTAATATAGTGTACTACGTCTCAAATTCTATTTATAAATGACTACAAGCGAAGGAGATAGATGGTTTTAAAAAAATCCCAAAATTTCAAAAATGTATCTAGAATTACTAGAAAACTATGAACAAAAATAGTGAAATAAAGGGTCGCGATCTCGCGAGGGTGAGCTAACTCCAGAAACCCGTCCTCAGTTCGGATTGCAGGGCTGCAACTTGCCTGCATGAAGCGGGATTCACTAGTAATCACCGGTAAGCCATACAGCGGTGAATCCGTTTCCGGGCCTTGTACACACCGCCCGTCACGCTATAGGAGTTGGCCATGTTTGAAGTCATTACCCTTAACCGTAAGTAGGGGGATGCATAAGGCTGGGCTTGCAACTGGAGTGAAGTCGTAACAAGGTAGCCGTACTGGAAGGTGCAGCTGGATCACCTCCTTTTAAGGGAAAGCTAATGCTTATGCTTATTGCGTATTTTGGTTTCACATTTCTTCACACCCAAAAAGAAGGCAGCTACGTCTGAGCTAAACATGGATATGGAAGTCTTATTTCGTTGAGGGTGAAGTAAGACCAAGCTTATTATTCGTAAATATCTTGATCAATAGTTCTAGAGCATTAGAGTCTAATGAATGTCTTGGTATGTTTCTATAGTGTATGATTGTCTATGTTATGCTTAAATAGTCAAACATTCTAGAGTGCATGAGTTGTTGCCATGTAGTTTGTCTTAGTTTCTTCCCATGCCCTTGATTATTCCGTAAACCACTCAACAAATTCTAGAGATAGCGTGCTCAATTCTCGATGAACTTAATAAGGGGGTAAATAGTAAGAATATGATAAAAAACACAAGAAGTGGATAAAGGTTCACATTTTTTTTGCCAAGTTGAAAAGCAAAAAGGGGTTAAATTTTGGATTTGAGGAAATGTTATATCTTTATGTCGATTGTAATCACTATAAGGAACAGAGACATGATGCCTTACGACACATGATACCATGTCAGATAAGGGTACCTACCAAATGCAACATTTAATTTTTCCGTCCTTCAATGTATAAAACCAGATCACCCTAATGTTAGGTCCCTATCAATGTCTTCATCTTTGACACTCGCAAACGTTGCTAGCATTGTGTCATAATGTCTAGCAATACTAGCCCTATTTGTTCTGACTTAATGTTATCACAAAGAAGATAACCTATGAAACTCGCCACCACAACGAACCATGCCTGGTTTAGAAGAGAGGCTAGATGATGGAGGAGGTTGTATGTATCCTGGTGTGCTCGATCCACCAAGGTTGTGGAGGTCTGTGTCGCCTCCAGGAGCACTGTGCGAGATTCATCCTCTCTAGATTAGTTATTTCTATGAGAAGAAAGAGGGGGCATAGGTGGAATGATGCAAGTGGTGGCGGTAGTGGTGGGTGAGGGGGGATGGTAGCGAGACACGGTGAGGAGAAAAACAAACTGAGGTAGTGCAAAACGTAGCCATGGAGAACCTAAAATCAAGTTTTTTAGGGTCTTGGTGTGGATTTATTTACAGGGTGTACACGTGGAAAAGACCCACCATGATTTCTAGGCAAAGCACATCAACTAAGGGGGCGCAAAAGAAAAATTTGAGGACCCTGATGGCGCACTCGAGCTATCATTGTGTTTCTCTCATCTATTAGCTAGGGCTCATGTGATAAAAGAATATCTCTCTTCCTTGGTTCCTCCTACCCCAAGAAAAGTTAGGGTTCCTTGCCTCGTCTCCGGTGGCCTTAGGGCCATAGAGGTGTGGGGGATCCCGGCCTTTGCCGGCGGGAGGGCTCCGTTTTTGACGTTTCTTTGAGTTTTGTTAGGGTTTGTGTCCTGCTCATAAAGGCAAGACGGCGGCGGCTCCCTGCAGATGGAATAAGGTTCTCCCCGCCTAGCCCCCATCTCAGTGGTGCGTGTAGCATCTTCGGTGGGCGTGTGGATGTATGTCTCTGGTGGATCTGCTCAGATTTGGTCGTTGTTTGTCGACGCTCGTGTGTCTTCCGGTTGGATACTTTAGATCTAAGCTACTCTTCATCGGCGGCGGTTGTTATTCTAGTGTGTTGATCCTATGAGGCCTTAGCACGACGACTTCTCGACTATCTAATACAACAAGGTTTGCCCAGCATGCCTTCGGCTCGTTTCAGTACTAGTAGTCGTTGCTAGGTGGTCTAAGGATC